GGGCCCGCCACGGCTGCTGCCACGGGGGGAGAAGGGAGGTGAGTGGCTGGGGATTTGCGTCCCCACGGGTCAAGCCCTGCCCTAGGTGGAGCCCATGTGAGGGGGGGTGCAGTGAGGGCAGACAGTCACTGCACACCCTAGTGTCCTCACCTTCTGGCTCCGCATGGGCATCGTCTTAGAGGTGTATAAAAACGCTTTCGGTGACCTGAATAATGAACTGAACGTTCCCTGTAGAAATCTGCTTCCAAGCCAGTGATAGAAAGCAGGATTTTAGGAGGGTGAACACTGTCTGCAGGCATTTTAGTTTCCTTTTTTGTGAAGACAGAGGAGTCACGGTATTCACTTCATGTCTCCTCCCTCCCGATTCGGGAGCAGGCCTTTGAGGTCGCTTACCCCCAGGTACCTTCTGCAAAAATGCAGAGTGACCAGTCCTTTGGCCTTATGGTTAAGGAAGCCGGATCCCATGTGACTGACCATGCAGGTCAAATCCCAGATCTGGTGGCTTGAAGCACACTGTGTGTGTGTGTGTGTGTGTGCGTGCGCGTGCATGCATGTGCACGCCCCACACTCTGATGAAACAGAGAAAAGGGGCTGCAGCATGACCTGCCCATGTGGGAGCACACACTGTCCACTAACTTCTGGACCCCAAAAGTGCGTGGAAGCCTGTCGCGCTCCCACCTCCAGCAGTCTGTCGCGGCCACTCCCACCTCGCTTGTTAGCTTCGCCCACAGGGTGCCGTCCCACACAGAACTGCGGTCACTTACAGCCACTGTGGTAGAAAGCATCCCCGACTGCCGAACCTGCTCGCTGCCGTTGGCACTCACGGACTGTCCCACCACCTGCCCCGAAACGAATGGCTAAGGTCCTCAGGCCGGGGCATGTGTGCACACAGGAGCAAGAGCACCCCGGTGGTCCTGGTCACGCCTCACCCTCCTGCCTCCTGTCCCCATCCTGTCGGGATCCTGGGTGCCACATGCACCTGCCCCTGAGCCACATGGGGCCCAGCTTCCTCCAAACAGCTGCACCTTGAGGGCAGCTGAGGAGCCTTTTAGAAATATTTTTTTTATGTATATTCATTACGTACGAAAAAACCTTTTTACAATTTTGTGACTTCCTTTATATTTGAATGATCTGGTGTGGGAAGGCTAAGGAGTGCTCCTCCAGCTAGCTTACAGAATGGGGTGTGTTAGATTTAAAATAACGCCCAGTGAAGTTACTCTTTCTAAGGTAATAAAGTGGAGGAAAGAAAGGAAACTGGTAGGTTACAGGCTGTTTTTAAGAATACGAGCTGGAGATTAATTAGTTTTTTAAAAGGCACAAGGATGAGTTAGAAACCATAAACCCGTCTTTAAAAGAAGCATAGAAAATTGAAGCGTGTGGGGCGTTGCCGGGAGAAGACGGAGCTCGGGGAGGCAGTGCTGGTGTCGCGCCACTCTGACCACGTGCTTTTCTTCTCGACAGGCAGAAGCGTCCCTGACACGAGTGCGCCATTCCCTCTGCTCACGAGCTCGGGGAGAGGCTCAGTGAAGGTCCCTGGTTTGTAAAGGCCTTTGGTCCCCATCCTGTGGACTTGGCAACTCACACACGGGATAGTTTCTAGTCCCATCCTTTAACCTGTTTTGTTAATAAATTCCTGCAAACAGAAGGTCGCAGTTCTCTCTCCAGGTGGTTGTGGCAGGCAGAAGGGCTTGTACGCACCCTCAGGTGGCCACTACCAGTTCAGCCCCCCCTCAGTCCGGCCGCGTGCGGGCCCCAGGGTAAATCCGGTGTGCTGGCCTTCTTCCTCTTCCTTAGCCTTCACTTGGAATCATCTTGTTATCTCTACGTTTTATTAATTTAAAAAAAAATTTTTTTGAAGAGGGAACCAGCAGTTAGCATAATGGCTATGTCGCTGGACTCCCACGCAGTCGACCGTGGTTCGCGTCCTGGACCCGGTGGCTTAAAACTCATGCCGGGCACGTGTGCGTGCGTGCCCAAGATCCCGAGAGGAGAATGGAGAAGGGATTGCGGCGTGACCATCCCCCCTGGGGGGTGATTTCTCGCTTTCTGTCTCTTATGTCTCTGTCTGTCTGGCGAGTGCACGCGCCCTATAGCGAAAACCTCTCAAAAAAAATTTTTTTTTTGAAGAATCATTTAACTAACTTTATTTCAATTTGGCCAGAGAAGGACAGAGTAAGAGATGGAAAGTGAGAATGCAAGCTGCCAGGTCCAGGACTTGAACCAGTCGGCTGTGTGGGAGTCCAGTGCCCTCAACCATCACACCAACTGCTGGCCCCTTATTTTTTAAGCTTTGCTAGTTTTGCAAGTGTGCTTGCCAGAGAGAGGGAGGGGAGAAAGCAGGCCCTGATGGGGCATGGTCACACCGCAGGCCCTTCTCCGATTCTCCATCCTGTTAGGATTTGGAGCTCAGGCTCACATACCCAGACCATTCCTCAAGCTGCATGGTCAGCGAGGTGGGACTGGGCTCCTTTGGCCACAGGCCACAGGCCGGCTCAGCTTCTTGTTTTAAAAGGCAGGGCTGGAAGTCAGACCGTCACCATTTATCAAGGAGGTGTGCAGGTCCCACTAACCACGAGTGGGGGACTTGGGGACAGCCACCGAAACAAGTCTACAAACCGTGGCTTCTGCAGCAGCGGCTTGCTGTCACCAGAGCCCCGCTGCGGCCACCTTCGGCAGGCTGTCCACAAGTGTCACTCCCATTTCACCGTCAGGTCAGTGAGGACTGAACCTCGGCAGTAACATCGAAATCCCGTCAGTAAGATACTGCAAACGGGCCGTGTGCAGTCACTGAGTGAGAGACACCACCGTCAGATCTCACAGGTGTCTGGGCCGTCGGCAAGTCATGACACATTTCTGTCCTGTGCAAAATTGGGGGAACCAGCAGTTAGCGTAATGGCTATGTCGCTGGACTCCCACGTAGTCGACCGCGGTTCGTGTCCCGGACCCGGTGGCTTAAAACTCACGCCGGGCGTGTGTGCGTGCGTGCCCAAGATCCCGAGAAGAGAATGGAGGAGAAGGGATTGCGGCGTGACCATCCCCCCGGGGGGTGATTTCTCGCTTTCTGTCTCTGTGTCTCTCTCTGTCTGGCGAGCGCACACGCCCTGCAGTGAAAATCTCTCCCCCAAAAAAAATAAAAAATTGGGTCATGATTGCCGACGACCTAAAATTCTACCCTTGCAATGCCACATAGTGGTTCTTGAGGGCTGATGGCTTTAAAGGGGGAGTGGAAGTCACATAGGGAATGTGGCAGTTTGTATGAAGATGCAATACTAAACACGTATGTGAACACGTACAACAATGTGAACAGTTACACCAGAGTAAGAACGGGAATCGGAGGTGTTTAATCACGAGACAGTAAACTTAAAAAATGTCAGTAAGTTCAGATGAGGCAGACGAAGCGATTTCCTAGGGGTTTTGTTCCCGGACATATCAGGCCTTCTGTCGTGAGCCATCCGGGCTGCAGAGGTGGTCCTCCACGGTGCTCAACCTTGCAACCTTCTGAGTCGCCAGGCCACGAGATTCAACCTGAGGGTTATTTATGTAGAAAGGGAACTCTATTTTGGACAGACCATAGGACAAAATCACCCCTACTTGTTAGATTTAGGGAAGAAATACAGCTTTTTTGTTAACATCGAGGCGAAGCAGGGCACCTGCTTCTTTCCGATCGCGCTCGGGTCTTTGCAGAAGTCCACACGGCGCTGGGACACCCTCCTGTTGACCAGCGTCAGGAGCTCCGTGAACTCCAGGGAAGAGCCGTATTTTCCCAGCATCTCACACAAGTCTTGGATGTACCACGAGCCATTCAGAGTCTCCCGGTGAGAGTAATACCCTAGAATGGGAAGGGAAACGGCCGCTGTCACCTTCTGGCTTTCAAATATTGTGATTAAAAGTCACTTTTTTTTTTTTGAGATGTTAATTTTTATTATCGGCCACGTGTGCTCGCAGGGGAGAGAGACAGACAGCGAGAAATCACCCCTCAGCAGGGATTGCCATGTCACAATCCTTTCTCTTGGGATTTTGGGCACACACATGTGCCCAGTGTTTCAAGCCACCAGGTCTGGGCCTTGAACTGTGGTCAATGGGAATCCAGCACCTTAACCACTGTGCCACCTGCCAGCCCCGAAAGCCACTTTGTAACTCACAACTACACAACAGACATGCTCTGGAGTCCTTGGGAAACACCAGGATGTGCCCATGTAGGAAAAGAGGCTAATCCGACAGTTTTAAATGAGGCTCATGCTGTTTCCCAGAAAACGACCGAGATGGCAGCCAGTGATTTTGAGAGATAGGAATCATGAGAAAGAAGCAAAATTACTGCATAGAAGAGCGAAGAGCAGCTGTTATCAAGTATCTTTCAACAGACATGAGCACAGGGCGCAGCTACCACAGGACGGGCGGTGCTGGCGGTCAGACCCACCCCGACTTTCCCGTGCAGCTGTGGGCGAGGGCGCCTCTAAGGCTCTGCGCACTTCCACCCTGGGCCCTGCGGCCGGGACCACACTCCAAGCTTGAGCACAGGGCAAACGCCACAGTGAGCCCCGCAGTGAGGCCAGGGACTGAGCATACCTTCTGCCACCGAGTAGCACATAATGAAGTCTGCTCCAGCAGGCAGCGTGTACACGGAGGCCGCGTCCACCTCGGTGCTGTTCGTGTCGGGGTCCAGCTTGTCGGTATGGTGGTCCACCCGGTCCAGAGGAATGACTGGCACGTCATGCTGGCTTCCCCGACACGCCTGCAGGACGAGAGAAGGCACCCCTTTCCCTGCTGTTCCTTCCTGGCTGAAGTGCACAGTGGGTGGGGGGCTGCACACCTCCACCTCCGTGTCCAAGGAGCCAGCTGCAGTCGGCCCGGAACCAGCCTGGCCTGCAGCCCAGAGCAGGCGCGTGCTGACGAGGCCGTCTCCCTGCTAGTTTCGTTCAGTGAATGAGAGACCAGCTGGTCGGAAGCTGGACTGCAGGGGGGAAAGCTACTGGAGTTTTAAGTTCCTTAGGGACTGGCCACACCCACAGGGCAGAGCCACCCTGCCTCTAAAGGCTGTGCTATCTCCCTGAGGGTCTCTAACCGCCCACGCCAGTGGGAGCAGCGGTGCCGCCTGGGACATCAGGTGTCTCGTGTTCGAAACCATCATCGATGTGGCCCATGATGGTACCGAGACCCGAGTATTTTTACCCCTCAAACCAACTTGGCGGGGGGCGATTCTGGCTGACACGCTCTCCAGTCCCCAGACCGGACTCGGGCTGCGCTGGCCCCTGCGCTCTGCAAAGCTCTCCCTGTGCACAGCCACCCACAGTTGCACACGGCTGTCGGGAGTCACGCCAGGTGTCAGCCCAGACACCGGATTTCCCGTGGAAAGGTAGGAGTCACTCATTCGCGACACTCGCTCTTAGGCTCAAAGGCAGCCCCAGCTGGCCAGGACTCGGGGGCCTTTCTAGTTACTGGAAAGTGACCGACTCTGCTGTAGACCTGCCCAGCCACATCGGGACCGTGAGCTCTGGCAGCCACGGCAGGCCTCACCTGGATGATGAATATCTTGGGTTTCCCCACCAGGCTCTGGCACTTGTCGCCCTTGAACAAGCCAGTCAGTGTCTGGATTTCCAGTTTGGCATCGTAGGCGTAAACGTGGCTGCCTTCGCCGTGGCTCAGGAAGACACACAGGAAGCAGTCGGCGTCCACGTGGCTGGAGGTTGACGCTGAAGGGTGACAGGAGTGGAAATGAGACCTCACATGTAGGCCTCGGTCTCTAATGCTAACGTCACATTCATGTGGCCGGGACAGGAGGCGCGGCGTTCTCTGATGAACGTGTCTGCAGTAGAACACTGCTCACCCTCACACATCGCTCCTCAGATCTGACCACGTGTCATTAGCTTTTCTGAAACACAGAATGACGTGGGAAACACGAAGGGATTATGAAAGGGACCCTTTAAGGTTCAAGCTAGTCTGGCAATAAATGCTCCCTGATCAGCTGAGACCATAGGGCAGCAGTGAACGCCCAGAATGCCCCTCGACGGCTCCCCAGGAGCCATGGCCTCTTGGCATCTGTAGTACTCAGCTTGCAGATGGGCAGGAGAGCCGAGCCTGCTGCCCCAGCCTGGAGGAGGCCTGCAGGCAGTGAGCCAGCGTGATCCCTACCCTGTCCCACCACTGCCCAGAAACAGGACATGCAGTTCAAAGCGCTCTGAAGAAGGCCTGGCCCTGTGGCCCTGTGGCCCTGTGGCCCTGTGTGCCCAGAGCCGGACCCTGTGGCCTGGAAGTCATACTGGGCAGGTGCACGTGTGTGCTCCAAGTCCCAACGGGACGGGGAAATGGAGAAGGGCTGCAGGGTGACCGTCCCCATGGAGTGCTGTCCCTGGGCTCTCCCTTCTCAGCACATGTTCCCTCCAACAAGAAAAAAAGACAAACTCAAAGGAAAGCTGAAAACACTTAGGCAGCTCTCCTGTCTATCGGGAGTAGTCTGAAAAGCCGTGCCAAGGCCTGAGATGTGAGTTCTGGGACCAGAGAGAAAAGTACGAGGGCTGACAGGAAAACGAGCCTGCCGACCCCGCGGGCCACAGTGCTCATGCTGCCGTTTTCCTGCCTGACGACGAGGCTGGCTGGCTCCTATGCAGGAGGCCACGGCTGGTGGCATGTAAATACAGATGGCGGAGCTTCACGGGGGACCCTGCGTCCACCCGGTGGGCAGCACAGACAGGCAAGCCACGGCCTGTATGCCAGCGCTCTGGCACCTGTGGGCAGGCAGCACGCAGTCCCACGGGAGGGCCGGCCGCCAGCAGCTCACCCTCATGGATCCTCAGCAGGACTTCCTCCGCCTTCAGATCGTTGAAACATTTCACCTCGAATCCTAGGTCGGAAAACCTGGTGACAACAAATAGAACGTGAATTCTGAGCTCTGCAAACTTGTCATCAAGTACCCTGACTTCTGAGGGATCTACACACATTTTTATGACAGTTAACTTTTCTTCAGGGAGAAAGAAAAACACAGGACTCTGTTTTCCTTCATGCCCCAGAATCGTGGTGGCTGTGACTGGGTCAGAGCGTCACAGCCTCGGCAAGCAGGCCGAGACGGCTAGGCTGGCGACAGCTAGGACGGGAGACGGTGGCTCGGAGCGCCGGCTCCCGTGCGCTGTCCCACGGGAGGCCTCGCCACTACCTGCGCACAAGGTTGTCCCGGTCCGCGCTGCTGCCCCGCCTCTCGGTCAGCATCAGGTGCCAGAAGAACCTCTCGTGGTTGAAGATCAGAGCGACCCCTCTCCGCCTGTGGTCCATCCTGTACTCTTCCGCTGGGTCCAACATCTCTCTGCCAAGGGAAAGTGCGAAAGACCATCACTTTGGGGCCAGAAGGTGGTTTGGTGGTTAAGGCACCGGACCATGGTTGAGTCCCAAAGCCAGTGGCTTAAAAAGATCACACCTGGTGTGTGTGTGCCCCAAATCCCGACAGAGCAGAGAAGGGCTGCGGAGTGGCCATCCCCCAGAGGGTAACTTCTCTTCCCCTCCCTCTCTCTCCCTAGCAAGTACACATGCCCTAGGGCAAAAATCTAAAACTAAAACCATGTCTCTGGGTCAAGAGAGGAGCCCTGGCCGCAACTGACTGGACTCAGAGCCCCGGCTGCCCTCTCACCGCCCACACGGTCAAGCTGACTGCCCCGGCGTGGCCTGCAGAAGGCATGCCGGGAGGCCCCTGGAACACCTCAGCACTTAGGGCACGGGCCATCAGGGCACCCAACCCTCGCTTAGGCCTTGCACCCTGGGATCCAGAGAGCCCCGCATGCCGGACCCTGGCACGCTGGCTCGGTCCAGCCCAGGCCCCTTCCCCCTTTGTTGTCTTTCTTCGCTTGCAGAGGACGTGCACTCGCCAGAGAGCGCGGCAGAGGAAGAGCGCACCCCTCCGCGGCGAGCCTTCTCCATGGAAGGCACTGCACCCTCCTTCGCTCCATCATGCCTTGACTGGGGTGTGGGCTCCCGCTTGGACCCGCAGAGCTTCTATGTGACAGGGCACACCTCACCTTTTGTAGAAGGCATCTGTTTCTGTCACATTTTGTTCCCCATCTGTTAAAAAAAAAGTTGATTTTTGTTATTCAGTTGGCTTTTCTTTGATGGCCATAGCCGGGAAGCCCCTCACACCCCCACTGCAAAGGCCTGCAGAGCCGGCCCTGGGCTTCCAGGCCAGAGGGGACCTGCTGTTCAGAGTTACCTTCTGCAGGTGTTCGCTGAAACAGGGAGGGCCTGCCAGGCGCTGAGCTGATGTCCAGTGTGTGCTGCCCCCTCCCTCCAGCTGGAGCATGGCAGCTCACGGTGGGTCTCCTGAGGGCCACACCTGCACTCACCACCCATACTCCCTGAGACTCCCTGCCCAGCTCCTCCGCCACCTTTCAGGACCCCATCTCAGGGCAGTCTGTATGACGCTGTGTTCGCTCCCTCCCCCCTTCCTGCAGAGTGTGTGCAGGGTGGGGGCACAGGACCGGTAATGTGGCCTAGCCGCTCCACTGGACACACGTGCACCACCCGCTCCCGGGGTGTG